TATCACCATAAACGCAATACTGTGGTTCTTTCGGATTATTTTGAAATGACACTCTGCCATTATTTATTGGCTAAGATCGAGTGTAACAAAATACGGAGCGTCGTATATGTGAATTGCATCAATTGCAGCGAACATTCATTGGTATGAATGTCTTATTGACATTAACTGAGAAGTTGGACCTTAGTATTAGTGACTACTACCATTGGGGGTAAAAGACCAATGATAATGAGATTGATTTAGCACGCGATCTGTACGACAATATAAATAACGAGAAATCTCAAATACAACGCCCGTAAACTCTCACGAATAAGGCCCCCTCTTCATGCAAGGGATGGGGCTCTTATTTATGAAATGACTCAAGCTAATTGTACCACTCATACATATACGTATAACTCTGGGCCGTTGCGCATGCGTCACTTCACAACAGTCTTCTCTAAAACGTAAAACATAACGAACAATTCTTTGCCGCACGACATGTGGCATACTAAGCCATAATAAATGGAAAGTCGCAAAACAAGGTTATACGAAAGCCGAATTAACCTTTCCCAAATCCCTCTGAAATGTCTATGATTGCCTTATGCAGTAGTCAACGACACGGTTTGGTTTCATAATGGAAAAGACAGAAATATTCAGGCTGATAAGTTACAGGGAATATCAATTTCGAATGACAGATAAATTCATTGATATTTGATATACACGCTTATTAGACACCGCAAACTGACTCTACATTTGACCTAATGGAACCTCTTATCACAACGATCCCGCTTCCATCATCACCATGGTTTGCCAAGTTCCAGAAGCACAAAAGGAACAGCTTGCAACTGTCACTGAATCTATTCAATTCAAATCTATTGGTTGACAGCCACCACTTTCCAGACATTACAAATTGTAAGGCGAAATTCAAGAAGTTCTTCAAACCATGGATCAGGAACTACGACACAACTCATCTTCTGACAAGCTTTACAAGAGACAGCTCAAGGGTTATGAAAAAAATCAGAGCTTTACATAAAAGGAGCTCAAGAAAAACTGCAACGAATCTGAACAGAAACTCGAGTAGAAGATAACAGTCGGCACGATAGGCGGGCAACCGTGAATCGAGTTCGAAATAAAGTCATCTGTAGAGCGTCAAAGTCAAATACTGCAACAACGGTAGTGGTTGATCACGAGAAAACAAAGAAGTTGATAAGTATCAGCAAAACAATGTTCAAATAGACAGCAAAGCAGTTGAAGAATTTAATGATACTCACAAAGACAAGTTCAAGGAAGTTGTTAAGGACAACCATAAGAAGAGGTACAGAGCACGACCTAGTCGAAGGAACTGTAATACCTGAGAGTGCGTTCCGTCATACTGCAATCTTGCTCAAGTCGATATATTCTAATTACGTATCGAGCAGAAATTTCCACGTCTCCCCGCGGACCGTCTGGCATTACCACGGTGCATAGAGATGGGACCGAATATAATGTTGATATACAGATGCGAGTAGTCGAATATGCTGACGAGCCGTTGCGTGCATTATGGAT